CCGATTGTTCTTCCAGAGTCAAGCTCTGGCTGTTCGCTGGCCCCCGGTGGCGGTCAGCATACACAACACATTTTCTCCAGAGGAAGTGATCTCTGTAGTCTAGAGATGAGCTGTAATTCCAGTGGATCCCCAGCTGGAGGCTGGCAACCCTACCTTGCTGGGGTTGCCATTAGTCTGCTGTGAACTGACGGCACTTTACACACGCACATTCACACTGGCGAGGAGTTGTTTCAGGTTGTGTGGCTGTCCATAAAAGGGAGGTTTCTCTGCCCATCCTGTACACAAAAGGGCTGAGAGAGGCAGGAATCACCTTCCAGGAGAGGCTGTTAGTCTTATGTCATGCAAATGGTTTAAAAAAATAGATACCCTACGATCAGAATTATGCAGGACACTTTTACAACGGGACAAGGGCTGCAGTTGATGGCACTGTTCACTGTATGCATTTCTTGTTTTATTGCATTGTTTTTAAACGTTGTAGGCCAATCTTATTACAGTGTTTATTATATTTATTCATTTTATTTACTTTAAGCATTTATTACCCACCTTCCTACCTTGTAAAATTCAAGGTGGCTTACAAGGTAAACAAAACAACAATTATTAAAAATACACAAAACATGCCCTGACCTGGATAGCCCAGGCAAGCCTGATCTCATTAGATCTTGGAAACTAAGCAGCCCGGCTGATCCTGGCAAGTACTTGGAAGAGAGACCTCCAATGAATACCAGGGCCGGGATGCAGGCAATCAAGCTCTGAAAAATGTCCTAGCTCCACTATGGGTCGCCAGAAGTCACCATGAATAATAATAATAATCTTTTCAATTTATTAATCGCTCAATCCTGCAGAGCTGCTGGCTCTGAGCAATTTACAGTTACACATATTCACACGGGACTAACAGTGATTCATAGGGGTAAAGGAGGACAACATATAAATCTTTTTAAGTCGCACACGTTGGCAGCCGACGGGGATTTTGTTCAGCTGTAGGCTTAGACGTGTTCCAGACGGCATTCACTCGGCTTGGCTTGATGACGTCAGCTTTTTCCAGGACTGTTTCAAGTCGCAGCACCGCACTGCCACCGCCTGGCCGGATCGGCCCATTGCAGGCTTCTTGATGCCGAGGAGATCTTTCCAGGCTTCCGAGCTTACGAGCTGGACATTCCATTTCGCCTAATTAGTTAAATTAATTAAACCCTAATTAGTCAAATGCAGTCTTAAACAAAGCCATCTTTGTTTTATTGCATTTATTGCCTCCTAAAGGTGAAAGTGAGGGGGCCAATCGCACCTCCCTGGGGAAGTTGTTCCATAATCGTCGAAAAGGCCCTCTTTCGTGTACCCACCAGATTAACTTCTTTGGACAGTAAGGAGGGCTTCTTACTGTGATTTTAATTCCTGGGCAGAAACATATGGAAGAAGACAGTCCTGCAGATATCCTCCTGGCCCCAAACCATGTAGGGCTAAAGGACAAAGCCAACACCTTCAACTGGGTTCAGGCATGGATCAGAAGCCAGTGTAATCACTGTAATATTGGGGTCACATGCTCCTGGTGACTGGCCCCGACCAACGGCCAAGTCCCAGCATTCTGCTCTACTGAACTTCTGAACACTCTTCAGAGTAGCCTCAAGTATATGTCTTATACTGTCCCTATTGTGTTGTTAAATTTTGTAATATGCCTTCAGTATAAGCAAGAAAGGCAGATTCAGGATAGACAAAAAATGTACTTTACACAATATGTTAGTGCAGAACTCTCTCCCACAGGAAACTGTGATGATGGCTGGATAGCTTGGATTGCTTTAAATTTAGAGTTGCCAACTCCAGATCGGGGAAATTCCTGGAGATTTGGGGATGTAGCCATAGGAGGGTGGGTTTTGGGGAGTGGAGGGACCTCAGCTAAATAGAGTCATAGCCTTCAAAGCAACGATTTTCTCTGGAAAGTCTGGAGATCAGTTCTTGTGCTAGAAGATCTCCAGGCCCAACTAGGAGGTTGGCAACCCTCCCATTAAAATGAAATTGGAAAAAATGGAGAATAAGGTGCACGAATTGCTACAAATGATATACTAGAAAGGTTTTAGCTGGAAGCTACAGGTAATTACATATGGTGTTCTGTTACTTCCTCTCCTACGCTTGTCTCACTACGCATCTGGAATGTCTCCTTCCTTACACCCAGGGGCATAAACTGCAGGGGGCAGCAGGGCTCAAGACACCTCCAGGAATTTCCCAAAGAGGGCAATGCCCTCCAGGCTGCCAGGGAGCATCATGGAACTGCTTAGGCTCTCAGGTTCTTACGTTCAGTCAGTCCCGTTTGTCTTTGCAGCAATTTAACAAGTTCCTAGGAGGCACAGGGCTGAATTTGTTTATTTTTGTAACGGGGGGGGGCCTTCATTGGGTAATACTGTCTGTAAAGAAACAATATAGAGAGAGAAAGAGCATGGAAGGGGGAAAGATTAATCCATTTAGCAATCAGAAGGCCTCAGTGGTTGGACTGAAGAATGTATTTCTTATATCCTGCAACAAGATTTTAGGGGTATAAGCTTTCAAGAGTCAAAGCTTCCTTCGAGGGTATCTGACAAAGGGTGCGTTGGCCCTCAAAATCTTATCCCCCCCCCCCCCAACCTGTTGGCCTCTAAGGTGCTGCTGGACTCTGATCTGGCTGCTCTACTGCAGGCCAACACAGCTACCCTCTGAAACTAGCTGATGGATCAAGAGAATTATGGTTTCCCTTCACAGATGGGATAATAGTGCTTGCATTATTACTGTGTCCTGGTGGCCCTGGGAAAGAAATGGTCCTGTCTCCATTTTCTCTTTAGCTAGGGGCGTGGGGGAGTGTTACCAAAGACGCCCTTCCTACCTAGACGTGTGCTGTTGAAAAGTACTGAGACTTACTAGTGATTTCAGCTCTCATACTTTATTTCAGCTCAGGACAAGACGAGAGTACCCAGCTCACAGGCTGGTTTATATGTGCACAAACCCCGCCCCCCAAACACACCCATGCACACCTGATTGGCTATTTACAGTGGCCGAGAGTTCCATAGGCTCTCAGACAGGAGCCTAGCCTGGCGATAGGTGCCGGCTAGGATCCGCTTGTCCCATTGTTACTGAGAGCGAAGCTCGGTCACGTCGCCTGACCACGTGGCGAAATGGCCGCGCACGCGGTCTGAGATGGATACATTACAGCTATATTCCCAGATTCTGTCCTGGCTGAATTTGCCTTGGCAGCCACGTTAGGAGCTCACTGTGCCTTGCTTTAGAGAAGGTGAGGTGGTGGTGGGGCTCTCCTCTGGCTAATGCTAACGCGTGGCCAAAACCTTGGGCAGGAGACTGATTCACTGATGGGACCTCTGCATGCCTACCCACTGCCACAAGTTCTTCCAAAGCCAGGCACCCACCTTGGTCTGTCAAGGTAATTTCACCAGCAAATGCAGGTCTTCCCGAATGCAAAATCTAATTACTGTCAAGCAGCCAGATGAGCTGATTACCTTTTACTGACCTTTCCCCGATTGTCTCTGAACCTACCATCCAGTTTGGTGTAGTGGTTAGGGGCACAGACTCTAATATGGGCGAACCGGGTTGGATTTCCCATGCCTCCACATGAAGCTGCTGGTGTGACCTTGGGTCAGTTACAAGTTCTTTCAAAGCTGTTCTCTCAAGAGCAGTTCTCTCAGAGCTCTCTCAGCCCTACCTATCTTACAGGGAGTCTGTTGTGGGGAGGGGAAGAGAAGGGGTTTTTAAGCTGCTCTGAGACTCCTTCAGGTAGTGAAGGGCAGGGTATAATGCAACCTCTTCTCTCTTCTACCTGCTCCAGGCATGGGGGAAGCCTACACCCTGCCTGGATGCACCTTTCGGGGACCCCCCCCTAATTTAGTCAGAGCAAGGATATCCATAGATTCTCACCCTGGACTCACCCTGAATTCCTGGACCTTATTTCTTTGAAGTTCTTTTGAGCTGCTCCACCAGGCAAAACCGTGCCATCTCATCCTTTCCACTCGTGCAGAGGCTGCCAAGTCCTTTTCTTTCTCTGGGACTTTGGGGACATTTGCTTGACACGCAGGAGCCACCCCTCCACAGCCTTGACTAATCTTTTCCTTGGGATCTTTTGACATTTCTGCCTAAATCTCCTACTCTCAATCTGTGGATCATCAAAGCAGCCAACCTACTGGAAGTTAAAAGTGATTGTGGTATCCTGGGACCTGCAGCTTTAGAGAAAAAGAAGTGGAAGAAATGGGAATATTTCTATCTTTAACAATGCGGGGGCAGGGGTTGTGGTTCAAATGCTGGAAGTTAAGGTGATTTTGGTATCCTGGAACTTGCAGCTTTAGAGAAAAAGAAATGGAAGATATTGTCTCTGTGCATCTGTACATGGGAGGGGAAGATGTAAAGCTGGTTCACCAAATATAGGAAGTGAGACAATGCTGCCATCCTGGTCTAAAACTGGGGACACCAGAGTTCAAATCCCATTCCCCATTTAGCCACAAAGCACACTTTGTGACCTTGGGCCAGCCATGCACTTTCAGCCTAAGTTATGAGGAAAAGAGGGGGGGGAGGAGGAAGTATTTCCTTTTATGCATGAATGAAACATTTACTCAAATAATCTCAGTGAAGGAGTTCAGGACTTCTTTCCTCTCCTCTTTCAGAGTCCTCTTGCTTTGACTGAGATCCAGTCTCCAGACCTTTATAAGTGAAAAAAATCACTTAAACAATCAAAGCGCGTGATTGTTAATGGCATATAGTTTCCTGAAATATAAACAATTTAATATAGATTACTAAAGATTGCTGCTTGAACCCTACATTGAAATTCTGTTTAGAGCGCCGCGGCTCTAAAAGACAAGAACCACGGATGGGTGGGGGGGGGAGGACTGCTACATCGGCCATCTACTCTGCGTGACCACAGATTGCTCTCCAGATTGCCGCAATCATCCTGACCTCCACGGCGTAGGTGGCGCCATTGCTCTTGCGAGGCCGCTCTGTGCTTTGCTCTATTACCAGTCTCATTTTGAGTTCCGGTTTACCGTGGAGACGGCGCGTGTGGAAAACTGGAAAGAGGTGGATGGAGTTGAACGGAGATGGCGCGTGTCGGGCTGCGTCCCAGGAGCTTCTGCTTGTGAAAGGCGGCGGAGGTAACCGACCCTGATCGTGTGCGGAAAGGCTCAGCAGCCTGCGCTGTCCGATCGGACGGTTTCTGCTGTCTGGAACTAGGCGGGAGGAAAGGGGAGGGTCGTTTGCCTGGCAGCCTTTTTTATTGTGGCTCCAGAGTTTACACGCGTCTGTTCTGCATGCTGCAAACATGCACATTTTACGGAGAAGGGGTTGGTAGTGAGATGCAGTTTGAAAACGCAAAAATAACACTAGCATAACATCTTACTTTGGGAGCCGCTTGGAAATCACAAAGGAATGAGCAAACTTTTGAGTACACCAGAGGTTTTCTTTTGGGGTTGGACGTTTAACCAAAAAAAGGTGACTGGAGAGCAACTGATGTTTCTGTTCACGATGGGAAAACCTCCCGTTTGCCATTACAAACTTCAAAATTTTTCATCATGCCCAAACAATATCCGTTGCTCTCCCGCCCCATTTATTTGCTTAACATCTAGCCTGCTAAAGTGTTTTGATGAACTCTAAAGCTTGCTTACTGCCTGGTGAATGTTCAGTTAATGCTAAGAAAAATATTATGCTATGGTTCCTTCGATTTCCCCCCTTAAAGATTGACATAGTAACAGGCAGAACAAAGTTTGAGTCCAGTGGCACCTTTAAGACCAACAAAGTTTAATTCTGGGTATAAGCTTTTGTGTACAAGCACACTTCTTCAGATACATTGAAACAGACTTCACCAACCATTACATATAGGTGTGTGTGGGGGGGGGGGGGTTAGTTGCCAGGAAGGGCTAACTGAGTAATAAGTACAGCTAAGATTGGATTATAGTGGTTGGTGAATAGTAGCAAATTAGCATACAGATAATAAAAGAATTAACAAACATGTGAGAATTGAGTGGCTTAGCATATTTAGTGAGATAAGAACCTGATATCTCTGTTAAATCCTGGGGGTTCCATTGTCCTTAGTGTTGTGATAATTTGTAATTCAGCAATCTCCTGTTCTAAACTGTTTCTGAAATCCCTTTGCAATAAAACAACTACTTTGAGGTCCCCCATTGAGTGCCCTGGGAGGTTGAAATGTTCTCCTACAGGTTTCTCAATGTTGTGATTCTTGATGTAACATGCAGGTATTTTTTGCTTAAGAAACAACATGTGTATATTCTTGTGTGGTTTGATATCTGTATTACAGGAAGGTATGCCTTCTAAATAGGTCTTCACAAATGTATGATGTAGGAGTCACACTGCCCTAGCTTTGTAGCAGTTCTCCACTATGTGCATCATGCTGGTGGTCTCAGTGTGGTGCTTGTTAATGCCATGGTGCCCACTTGCTTCTTTCCCAAAACATCCATTCCTTAAAGCAAATGAACAATCCTAGCTTTCCTCCATTTAAGAGTTTAGGAGGCATCATCTTTGTGTGGAAACAGCTGCCTCACCCACAGGAGAATGCTTGGGTTGGAACCTTTTAAACGTTTTGTTGACACCTTCAGATGTTTAGCGGTTTGATCCAGCCTCCATGGCAACCACCTTTTGGCAACCATTTTGTTATTGCACCAACTAACTAACTGTTCTCAGAATTTCAAAAGCACCTACAGGTTCAACAGGGTTTGGGATCCCTGTACTACACGATAGATGTGGTTCACTTCACACATTACGAACTGGGCACCAGCCCTGCAGCTAGCATATTTTCGGGAGGGTGTGTGTGTGTGCAAAGACTGAGAGTGAGGAAGCTTAATCGAATCACCACTAATCAGATTAGTGACTAATCTAATCTGTGGTGATCGATTAAGGTGGAGAGTCTGCAGGAGGCACAGGTGAAAACAGCCCACTTTTCATCTGGATGAAACGCTCCACAATCTAGCAGGCTCTCTTTGGCAGATCTGCCCTGCGGACAGCCTTCGAGGAACAGCAGACAGACATCTCAGCCAGAAAGCAGCGCTGGGAATCAGCCCTGGGGGAGGAGCCAGGCTGGGAGGCTGGTCCTTCCTTAAGGGCCCCCTGTGGAAGCAGCATGCTGCCCACCAGGGAATACATTCCAGGGTGAGGGAAGAGATTGCATGCTCTGCAAGCAGGCCTGTAGCTAGGCAGGGGCGAGGGGGTCTTCCTACTTTCAGCTGCGGCTGAGGAGGGAGAGGGGTTTTTGAGAAGCTGGCTGCAGAAGCAGGAAGACCCGGCGAGGCTGTGTGGAGGCTGCTCCTCTCCCTTCCCTCCTGCTTGGCTGCAGTTCAGACTTTGCCTGTGTGAAACCAAGGCCCCCTGCCTGCACTTGGGGGGGGGGTGTCTGGCATTCCCCAGAGAGGACTGGGCATAGCCCCCCTTGCTCCCACCTAGCTATGAGCCTGCTGGGCACATTGTTCTGTAACGTTAGACTGGTCTTTATTTTGTTGCATGATAGCGTTGCACTGCATTGTATAAGTGTATTTTACACAGCACAGAGTACATGGCAGGTAAATTTACTATATCTGCTAAGCTGTAATTAAAGAAGAGCCTCCATGAAGGGAATAAAATTAAAAATCGGAATAATATGCTGCTTCTGGATTGCAGGTATTCATGAAACACTGCTACTGAATTCAAAGAATAAGAAGCCCATGAAGTCACAGACAGCAAGGATACCAAGGAGCAGCCGTAAGTGTACCCCACAAATGGAAAGAAAATTGTGTAGGATCATTCCTGAGCAAGAATTACTGCTCCAGAGACCAGCATAAACACTGGAGAATTTGAAACCATCAAATCTGAAACCGCTGAAGTAAACCAGGGTTTCAATCAGAAACAAAACAGAGATTCCATCCTCAAAAGTCCTCGTGACATTTAAATTTTAAAAACACGTGAATAGCTTTGGGATTTTTGCATTGGAGAGGAAACCCTTCATATTACTTTTGTACACACCTTCCACAAGTGCCAAACTAGTAGGCCATTCATTCAAATTAATTTTCCCGTTCTTGGGACACGTCACTTTGTGTGATATGCCTTAACAAAGTGATGCTCTGTCTTGGTGCTTGGGGGGGTCAACAGTGGGAGGGCTTCTAATGTCCTGGCCCCGCTGGTGGACCTCCTGATGGCACTGGTATTTCTGGCCACTGTGTGACACAGAGTGTTGGACTGGGTGGGCCTTTGGCCTGATCCAACATTGGGGTCTCTTATGTTCTTAACATGTAGGCCTTTAAAAAAATTAGCATGATCAGCAGTTTAAGATTCTGGGAAATGATATTTTAGAGCTTGTAATGCTCTGAGCAAATCTAGAAACAGCAGGTGGGATTTGAGAGCCAGCATGATGTAGCTGTTAAAGTGTCAGACTAGGATCTAGTAAACCCAGGTTTGAATCCCCACTCTGCCATGGAAGCCTGCTGAGTGAACGTGGGCCAGTCATGCACTCTCAAGTCTAATCTACCTCACAGGGTTGCTGTGAGGATAAAATGGAGGAGAGGAAAATGATTCAAGGAGTTTTGGTCCCCATTGGGAAGAAAGGTGGGATATGAATAAACTAATAAAATAAAGTAAATAAGTGTGCAGATTCATGAGCACTCCTTGTTACTCCTAAATGATAAGCTGCAAAGAGAAAAGCTGAGACTCTTTAGGCTCCTGACAGCTGGAAAAGAAGGAACATTCATCTGAAGCATGAAACAGGTCCTTAATATATTGCCTGGTGATGTTCTTTTACCATGTTATTGCTGTGGTACCTGGGAAGGTGAAGAACTGCTACTGAGGTGGCCCAAGAGTGTATTTATTTAATATGTTTTATTCTACCCTTCCTCCAAGAAGCTCCAAGTTGCATACGTGGTTCTCCCATAACCATTTTACCTTCCCAACACCCCTGTGATATAGGTTAGGCTGAGAGATAAGCGGCTCTGGTTACCCAGCAAACATCTTGGCACCACGAGGATTTGACCTGGGTCTCCCAGATCCTAAATAAGAGATTGAAGGTCTGCAAACTGAAAGGTTTAAGGATTTCTGTCATCATTTCTGTCTGCATAGTGAGCCGCTGCTGCTCCCCTCTCCCTGTATTTTTATCTGGTCTGCCGGGGGCACATGGACCCATCGCTGTTCAGATCTGGTGGTGGCTGAACTGAGTTCTTGATTAGCATTATAAATATATGTTTAAATAACCAAATGGTTTTTTGGGGGGCGATTCCTGCATCTCATTAGGATTTTTTTCATGTATTAGTTTTGGATAGGGTACAGAGCTTTCTGCCGCACATGGCCAATGCAAATGATGAACTAAGAAGAGAAATGGAAAGTGGCCCTGTTGAAGACTTCGATATTGAACATGTCGATGCTTCAACTGAAAATGTTATTGAAATGGTAAGAAGCCTGTTTATGGGTCAGCTTCATGCACCTGATTCTGTGCAAAGTAGCAGTTATCTCCCTTCCTCTCTAGCAGTCTCCATTTTGAAAACGGCTGATACTTTTGTGTGAGCTTTGTTATCTGGGGGAACTATGCCACTTCCTCTTATCATTGTCTCTCATGTCTGAGCCTAACGTATGTGGTTAAGAGCACAGGACGAGCCATGCCAGATCAGACCATAGTGCATCTCTTCCTGTGCAATCCTAAACAGAGGCTCACCTTTCTAAGTCCACTGAAGTCTAGCATTGGCTATCAAGATTCTTCTGAGAAACTTACTGATGTAGTATGAAGCCATCAGCACCCCCTTTGTTTGACTCCCGCATCTAGCAGAACTTGGGAGGTTCTGTTAAATTATCATGGCCTTTGATCAACTCATCTTCTACGCCCCCCCCCCCGCCCCCTCCAAGCCTGCTATACTCTTGGGAACCACCCCATCATGGCAGAGTGAATTCCATAACAACATCATAAGAATAGTTACAGACTGGCAACTGAGATCTGTTTCAGATCCAACATGATTGTGTTGGCCAATGAAGGCAGGACTTAATTTTCTTCTAAGTTGTGTTATCTTTACACCGTAGCTTTACAATGAACAGAATTTGTTGTGATTTAAATTGTTATCGTTGCAGAATGTGGCTTTGGTGGAATTGAGTGGTTCTAGTACAGAGGAAGAGGATTCGGCATCGGAAGATGACTCTGATGATGGCTCTGTCTGCGAAGAAGTCACTGTAGACAACATGAAGCTTCCTAAGTCCAAGGGAGAAGGCAGAATAGAAGTTTTGGACAGTATATCTAATGAGTAGATGTATCATAACTATTTCTGACATCCAGCTCTGTCGCACGTCGTGCATTGTTAAATCTGAGAGAAGAGTGCTCTGGGCACTCTACTTTGTTTCCAAGTGTGAGACACACAGAAGATTTCTGTGCAAGTGCAAAGACAGGAGAATAATGAGGTCACTCTGTTTCCTCGAAGGCAGCATGGAGCAAGAAACTAGAATGATGGACTGAATTGGGAAAAAGAAACGAACTGCTTTTGTCAAGTCTCCTTCAGGTCTAGTTCTTACAATTTCCCTCAGTTTCCAAGGTTACAGCTGCTGGAAATGATTTCATATGAGAACTATTCACTATCTGGATTGTTTGGGACCTGCATGGCAGCACGGACCCACTGGCCTGGATGTGCAGCTGGGATGGTGGATGTGGTGAATGGCTGTTGCATGTTAGAAGAACCACCATAGTACAGACGCCTTGCCAGAGAGCTCCCATGTAGTGTTGCAAGAGCTGGCCTAGAGTCTCTGCTATAAGGGGGCGGGGGGAGAGAATTATGTTGGCTTCAGTAGCTTTTTGTTGTGGTAGGTAAGGAATAGTAGCTGGGATGAAGTTTGTTTATTTGCCTGTATAAGTGAGTTTGTTGATTGACTTACTGAAAGTCTTGCAGTCTGTACAAAACTGTACACCATGCCCAGATTAGGGGGAAATTTTATCTAGGCTACATTTCATGTTTATTAATCTGAAATCTACAAATAGCAGATAGTTATTTAACCTATCTGAAATTATGTGTCCAGCCTATGTAGGAGGATTTTGTTTGATAAAGCAACGCTGTTTCTTAAGTGACATTTTTTGCCACGTGTTGTCTTTTCCAGTATTAAATACTGTACTGGAATGATTTATACAATTTTGTGCTTAAGATGCTGACACTGGATTATTCTGAATGATTATCAGGAGGTCTTTCTTGGGCAGTTATTTCTGTGGTGGATCTTTTTCAAAATTGTCTGGATTTGAATAAAAATTAAGACTGTTTTCGAGCAAAGACCAAGCTGAATATTACAGAAACAGCAATAATTTCCCTTCCCACAAGCCCTCCTAAAATGAATGAGAGAAGCTGTGTTCCCTGCTGTCTGTTTTTCATAAAATGTATCTAGCAGAAGCAATGTAGGAATATTCCAGCTCTCTTGCAGTTCCAGAAAGGTGGAGAAGGCAGCCAATAGTACATTGTAATAGTACTTTTTTTTTGGGGGGTTTGGGGGGGGGGGGGGGTTTGCCAAAGAAAAGCAGGGATAGGAGCATGCATGGAAGAAATACTTCTTTCAAGATTGCAAAGCATGCACAATTTAATGCAATTTGCATTGACAACTCTGTTGATTACATGTTCCTTATTGGCAAACAGATTATAAAATATTTGCTATAGCTTTTATATGCATAGTTTAACACAGATGTCGAGCTCTGCATAGCATATTAAGGGCACTTCCTTGATTTTATTTACAGTGTTTATAGCCAAGTTGCTTTCTGTGCTGCTTAAGATATGTTGGATTTGTGTCACAGAACCAAAGAAGCTTAATGCTGGTGTAATGCACAGTTTTAGAAAATTGTCAAGAAATCCATGTGTTTGACTTAGGAGAAAACAAGCAATCTAGCACACTGCTTCTTGCTTAGGGAGCTGGAAGCTTTAGCATACTGTTAAGTAGATTTGGGTCCACCACTGGATGTTCAGTTAATCTTCCAGATGAGCATTCCAGTTAACTGTGGTGGATAATGGAGCCAAGACAATAAAAGAGGTTATAGCTGAAGATATTTCACAGAAAAGTCCGTAACTCATCCGGGGGCCCCTACCAAAATACCAGATTCTGCTTAGTGGATCCAGGTAATACAAAGCTTGGCAACAAATGATATACCTGAAAAGAGAATGTCTAACTCATGTTAGGAATGCAGATATTCTTTCCTGGCTCAGTGGGATGAGATTCTGGTTTTTGTAATGCCAGGAAATGTCTCTAACAGTTTTGTCTGACATTCTGCCTTGTGCTTGAGGTTGAATTTATCGGCAAGGGAATTGCTTTGTTGATTAGTATTCTACTGTTACTGCCTTTGTTCTGAGATACTCATGAAGTGCTTCTTCACCTGAAAGAAATCAGAGTTTTAAAACAATTGTAGACGGTAAGAGTTTGGCTCAGTTTCTGTGCTTACAAAGCGAACCAAAAAATAAATAAATCCCCCAATTAGGAACTCCACCCCAACATTTCTTTTGAATTTTCTACCTGCAGGGACCTGAGCCTACGGGGAGGGCGGGATAAAAATCTAAATAATAATAAATAAATAAATTATATTACAGAGTACAGAGCACTCTGGGATTAATTGCACTCAGGTAGGTCCTGCAGTCACCTGTGGGAACGGAATGCAATACATCCACTCTCTTGCAGCAGGCTGCTAAGTTCAGGGAAAGATTGGGGGGGGGGGTTGTCATGCTATCTTTCCTGCCGCTTTTGATCTGTGTTCCTTCATCTACCCTGCAATACTGTTTGCAATACTGAGTTCGAAAACAGATCAGTCATATAAGAACTACTAAACTGCAAACTCAGGTGGGGACAGTGGTCGACACCTATCTTAAAATAAATTAAAAGCATTATTTTATAATGTTTTGTGTTTTTATGGATGGCTACTTACCTAAATCTTTTCCAAAGCCAGACTGTTTGAATCCACCAAATGGGGCTGCCACATCAGTTTTGTTATAGGTGTTAATAAAAACCGTTCCAGCTTCCAGTTTGTCACTGATGTACAGAGCTTTGCTTATGTCTTTTGTGAAGACCCCTGAAGCCAAGCCGTATTCTGTTCTGTTGGCTCGTTCTAGTACCCCATCAACATCCCTGCAGTGAGAGAGAACCATTTGTGCTACATGAGGAGCCAAGGATCCTAATCTAGACTATGATTTGCCATTTCAGTTTTTGGCCTTTTATGAGCACTTGCCAAGGCATGGTTGGCATCCTGTTTTTGTTACTAATTTGCCTGTAGAGAGGAGTCCTGTGAATGTAGTGTTAACACATCCTCACCATACATGATAGAAAACAACAATTTGCCTGCTTTCATCATCAGCATTCATAATCTTGCACCAACAGAATAGTAGTACTGAACAGGTGACTACAGCAGGACATACCCATCTTTGAACTTGGAAATGACCATTACAGGGCCAAAAGATTCCTCCCGTGCAACATACATGTGGTCTTCAACATCTGTCAGGATGGTAGGTTCCATGAAAAAGCCTAGTGGGAGAGAAGGCAATGGAGAATTGTGCAAATTTTGGAATCTCTGGGACTTTCTTCCTGTATCAGTGGTGCTGTGATAGGTATTGCTTCCCCAAACTAAGAAGGTCATTTGCAATACCAGAAGTTACCGTACCTTGTGAATAACTTACCAAAGGTTTTTGTGTAGTTGATTAATGGGTTAGACTGAGTAACAGATCTCTTGATTTAAAAGGTTCCTGTTATTTGATTGAGGACGTTTTCTTCAGCCTGTATCTTTAGGTACCCTTACTCAGATCACTTGAAGGATTTTGATTTTATCACCTGAAGGATCTGGATGTCAAAGCATTCAAATCCAGATGCTTTGGGTAGCCCATAAGCATGGCATTTGCTAATTTAATGTAGACTGTTTCACAATATGGGAGTCCTTAGGTACTATATTTACCTTCTACTGCTGTTCTACACATGAGTGAAAGAGTACAACTCACTGCACTGGTTTCTGTTGTAGAAATCCTAACGATACCACTGTCATTAAGTATAGAGCACCTTGGTATATTTAAGTCTGGTTTTATACCCAAGCTCTTTACAGCCCACATGCTTTATTACAGAAAAATAGAAGTCTCTGTGGGTTACAGAAGAACATTTCCAGCATAGTTTCTTGAGTTGGTTCTCAAGCCTCTGTTCCTGAATGCCCACCTAAAACTGAACTATGCCTCCACCACCACCAGAATGAGAAAACATAGAGTGTCAATATCTAAATATTTGTATTTTTTTCTTGATCAATTTCTCCAAAAATTCCAGTTTATAAACAGAATACACAGTGGAAGAAGTACTTTTTTAATGGTGCCAAGCTGAAGAAATGTTGGTTCATAAGACTCATGCAGACATTCAATAAGAACTGTTCAAAGGCAGAGGTGTTTCACTGTTTTTAGATGGTATGCCTAAGTATCACAACAGGGGACACAGCTATGAATAAATAAGGCTATACTGTGCAAAAATATGTAAAAAAATAAACCTATATCATTATAAAGGTTACAGGTGTGCTTTATCCCAAATATAATAGTAAGTATAAATTAGATATAATACATATACAACTACATATAAATCAAAAGTCAACATTCAGTCTCTTAAGAACGCTGAGCGTGTTGTGGGAGTACATCTATACTGAAGAACTGAAATCTGAAGGCAGTTGCATTCTGTCATTAATGTACCTTAGTTCCACAGCAGGATAATTCTTTGGAACGTTTTCCTATGTCAGATTTTTTATGCGTTTGGAATGGACACCTTAGAGACTGAATTTTGACTTGATTTATATGTAGTTGTATATGTATTATATCTAATTTATGCTATTATATTTGGGATAAAGCACGCTTATAATCTTTATAATTATATGAGTTTATTTTTTACATATTTTTGCACGGTGCAACCTTTAAGTTATGTATCACAATAGGCACGTTTTTGGAAGAGGAATTTTATGCCCCTTCTATGATGATGACCCCTGCCAGCAAGTTTTTAAAGTACTTGTATTAAAAAATACTTTCTACAACTGCTACCCAATTAATTTAACTGGCTAAGTGTTGCAACTCCAATTTAGGCCTTGTCTTACCTGGTCTACATACTTGTCTTCCTCCGTACACTAGTGTGGCTCCCTCTTTCACCCCAAGTTCACAGTATTCCAGGAGCTTTAGTAGATGAGCCTTATGGTTCTGGGGCCCGTGGTCTGTGGATCTGTCCAGTGGGTCACCGATTTTCATCTTTTTGGTTTCTTCCACCTACAGGTTACCCAAAGATGTTGTAGGGGGCATGTGAGAGAAATACATGGTACAAGACAATGGTTGTGATCTTTGGGGGACAATGTCATAATCCTACCTAAAGCAGCAGTCTGTGCTGTGGTGTTTAAAGTTTGTTGGTGAATAAGGGGAAGCTGTTCCTCTCTGTCACAGAATTCCCATAACGGAGCTGAAGCATATGGCTGCATCCACACATTTCTATATTCTACACCGTCACTGCACTATAGAAATGATAGACAACTGGATTTTCCCATGTGGGCAACCTGTGTCCCATGGGAGGCCGGGTGATAATAATACTAACAGCTGAGTCACCTGTATCTGCTGTACCCATTTTTCCCATTGCACCAGAACTAGATCGCTCCTTCAGGAGGCTATACCAGAATTGGCATGGGAAATCTGGTAAGGCATCTTAGTGGTGTAGCATAAAGTGGCTAATAAGCTGTGATCTAAGATCCCTGGTGCAGATCTTGCCTCTGCCATGTGCTTATTAGGTGGCCCTAGGCAAGATACTCCCATTGACAAGGCAGGGGAAATGATATCGCTTATTTTTCAGGATTGTTGTAATGGCTGCAACCAGATATCATCTGTGAAACACTGAACTCATTATATAAAATGTATCATTGCTCTGCCTTCCTGAAGGAGAGAGGCATTATTATTTCAGTGCATTTTTATCCCATCCTTCCTCCTCAGGGCAGCAAACACCTCCACCATTTTGTCCTCATAACAACTATACAAGTGACTGGCCCAAGCTCACCTGGTAGGTTTCGTGGCAAGGAATGTTTTGAACCTGGTCCTTTTTATTTGCTAAAGCCTTTATATCCTGCCTTTCCTTGTGATTCAAGGTGGTGTAGAACACCCCAACCACTACACTATTCTGGCCATCTTGGTACAGTAGACTGTGTGTCTTTGGCTCCAGTGGAGGCTGTTTCTTTCCCTTCTTACTACAGCCTGAGTTGTCACTATACCTTAATGGTTATGAAGAGAAGAAGAGATTGGATTTATACCCCGCCCTTCACTACCCAAAGGAGTTTCCCTTCCCTTCCCCATAACAGACACCCTGTGAGGTAGGAGGGGCTGAGAGAGTTCTTTGAGAACTGCTCTTGAGAGAACAGCTCTGAAATAACTTGTGATTGACCCAAGATCATACCAGCAGCTGCATGTAGAGGAGAATCAAACC